CTCTTCAGCTCAAGGCTAGCGCTCTACCACTTGAGCCACAGCGCCACTTCCGGCTTTTTGCTTATGTGGTGCTGAGGAATCGAACCCAGGGCCTCATGCATGCAAGGCAAATGCTCTACCACTGAGCCACTTTCCCAGCTCCTCCATGAGACTCTTATCTCCAGTTAACCACCAGAAAACTGGAAGTGGTGCTGTTGCTCAAGTGATAGAGCACTCTCCTTAAGCTGAAGAGCTGAGGGACAGCACCCGGGCCTAGCTCCACAACCGATAAAAAAAAAAAAAGAGGAGTTGACATATGGATAGGAATCTAAATTATATAAAAAAAAAATTGAAGAACAAGGAGCTTAGGGTCTTGAGATGAGATGATGTGTGTATTCATGGATTTTATGTCCATGACCCTGTCTTTACCTGTGTCAGTGTCATAGTCCATGGTTGGTCAGTTAGGTCACAGGTAAACATCTGTCCAGATGAAGCACTTATAGAGATAGTAAGGAAGTGGTAGTCATCTAAAGGAAGAGTTTTGCATCACTGCCCTGTGTCTGCCTGAAGAGGATAACGTAATAGAGGGTTGTTGATGGTGCTGTTTCTGACAGTTGAACAGCACATAGTGAAAAATCTCAATGCAGTGGATGCTTACAGCATAACATGGCATTTGAAACGTTGGCCTTGGTGTCACATCTGCCCTATCCAATTTGACCACTTGATTTTTTTTTTTTTTTGGTTGTGGGGCTTGAATTCTGGGCTTGGGCGCTGTCCCTGTGTTCTTCAGCTCAAGGCGAGTGCTCTACTGCTTAAGCCACAGTGCCACTTCTAGTTTTCTAGTGGTTTATTGGAGATGAGTCTCAGTACTTTCCTGCCTGGGCTGGCTTTGAACTGTAATCCTTAGTCTTAGCCTCCTGAGTAGCTAGGATTACAGGCTCCAGCCACCAGTGCCCGGCTGACCACTTGATTTTCTTTTTTTTTTTTGGGTCTGGTCGTGGGGCCTGACCTCTGGGCCTGGGCGCTGTCCCTCAGCTCTTCAGCTCAAGGCTAGCACTCTGCCACTTGAGCCACAGTGCCGCTTCCGGCTTTTTTCTTTTTTCTTATGTGGTGCTGAGGAATCGAACCCAGGGCCTCGAGCATGCAAGGCAAGTGCTCTACCACTGAGCTACCTTCCCAGCCCCACCACTTGATTTTCTATGATCACATTTATCCCTTTAAAACCTAGCTCCAGACTTGACACATACTCATCTGAGAAGTTTCTGTGGATGGAGAAGTGATCTTCTCTGCCTTCTTGGGTATTCCTGAAGTTTAAGTGAGAAAATAAATATTTGAGACACTTACTACAAGGGAATAGTAAACAGTAACACTTAACAGTTGCAGTAGCCATTTATTACCATATATATATCCATCAACTATCAGTGACAAAGGGAAAGACATTTACAGCTTTTTTTTCCACTTTGCTTCCCAGGATGTCTTTGAACTGTGATCCTCAGATCTCAGCCTCCTGAGTAGCTAGGATTACAGGTTTGAGCCACCAGTGCTATTTACAGCTCTTTTGAGAGAGAGAGGGACGGGGGGAGGTTATTTTGTTTGTATTTTACTTTGATTTTTCTTTTGAGCTAAGGTCTTGCTTTATAGCCCAGGCTGTACTCAGATATATCTTCTGCCTCCTGGGTACTAGTATTATAGGCATGTGTCGTGAGCATTTTTTGGGGGGAGGGTGGCAATCCTGGGTCTTGAACTCAGGGCTTAGATGCTGTTTCTGAGCATCTTTTTTTTTTTTGCCAGTCCTAGGGCTTGAGCTCAGGGCCTGGGCACTGTCCCTGAGCTTCTTTTGCTCAAGACTTGCACTCTACCACTTGAGCCACAGTGCCACTTCCCGCTTTTCCTTTTTATTTGGTACGAGGAATCGAACCCTGGGCCTTCATGCATGCTAGGCAAACTACCACTAAGCCACATTCCCAGCCTCTCTGAGCAGCTTAAGCTTAAGGCTACTGCTCTGCCACTTGAGACATAGCTCCATGGAAGCTATATCTCATAGTAGTTTAGTAATTTAGTGTCATTGGTAGTTTAGTGGAGATAAGAATCTCAGATTTTCCTGGCAGCGTTGGATTTGAACCATAATTCTCAGATCTCAACCTCCTGAATAGCTACCAGTGCCCAGTTAAGTGATAGTTTTTCCACAGATTTTTTGTTTCTATTCCCTGGGATGCAGAATCTAGTAAATGGTTTTATCAATAGATACAAATAAATCAATTTGGGAAAAAGGGACTGGACAGTGAAGATGAAGTAGTGATTAAACTGCTGATAATGAGGTAGAATATAACCTATAAGCTCCTTCTTAACCCTTGCTTTCTAAAGCAGTAGTTCCAACCATTTTGAAATGCCACTTAAAAAGTGAAAAAAATTGCCGGGAGCCAGTGGCTCATGCCTGTAATCCTAGCTCCTCAGGAGGCTGAGATCTGAGGATCGCAGCTCAAAGCCAGCCCGGGCAGGAAAGTCCTTGAAACTCTTAATCTCCAATAAACCACCCAAAACCAGAAGTGGCACTGTAGCTCAAGTGGTAGAGCGCTAGCTTTGACCTGAAGAGCGGAGGGACAGCACCCAGGCCCAGAGTTCAAGCCCCACGACCGACCAAAAAAAAAAAAGTGAAAAAAATCAGAAACAACCTGGGTACTGTCACTTAGCTTTTTCAAAGCCTAAGGCTGGTGCTCTACCACTTGAGCCACAGCTTTACTTCTGGCTTTTTGCTGGCTAAATAGTAGTAAGTTTCACTGACTTTACTGTCTCAACTGGCTTCAGACTGTAATCCTCAGATCTCAGCCTCCTGAGTGGCTAAAGAGTTTTTAAATAAGGAACTAATGTCACTATTATATTTAGAAGAGTAATCACAAAACTTGTTATTCAATACATGTGGTCACAAAACTTGGACACAAGGCTCTTGATCCCCAGGTAGTGCTTGAATAGGAACAGTGAAAGATTTTTCCCCAAAGCAATCCCACTTAGTTTAATATGCTTTCTTTAATTTTGAAGGAGATGGACGAACACATGCGGAGCATGTTGCATCACAGGGAACTTGAGAACCTGAAGGGCAGGTATGGGAATGGCTCTCTTCCTTCCATAAACTTGAGATTGTGGGGGATCTGAGTGCTGGTGGTGCCTGTCGGCTCATATTTTATACTAAGCCCTCTCATCGTGAACATCGTCCTTCGCCGTAGAATGATTATTTAGAGTTAATGCCAAGCACACGCTTTTGGCATTCAGTTGGGATAAACCTCTTGGTATTGTGCGTCCATAGGCATGTAGAGTCCACAGCACCTCTGGCGAGTGGAGGAAAAGGAAGGGTGAGCTGGGATTCTCCTGTTCTCTGATTAGTACAGTGTCTCGTTCCTACACAGCCACCTTGCAACTCAGACATTTCCCACTTTCCCTTTAGCAGTGTCGCAAGACTATTAAATACCATTGCGGGAATACTCTGAAAAGCCAAAGCCTGTTAGATGGTACTGAATCTCCTTAGTGTGAACAAAATTCAAACAACAGACCTTCAGTGTATTTGGGGATCCGCTTTTGTTGCTCTAAGCTTGAGATGTTTAAGGGAAGCCAGCCTAATAAGTAGGCAGGTTTTAAAGGGAAATGTAGCATGCAGAGTCCCCCTCTCCCTTTTCTCACCCATGGATTGTTCTTGATGTGTTGACTTTTGTGGATTGAAGTGTGGAGACTGAACATTAGTACTGGGAATCTGAGAGCTATGAACTTATATTTCATCCCCTGAGAATCAGTTGAAAGTTTTCATTAGGGCTATCATCCTGAGTCATAGTAAGACATAGGTTTTAGGTTGTGTGTTATTCAACTTTCGGCCTCTTTAGCATATTAGGGGAATTTTGCCCATGTAAATAGTGTGGCGGTTATGTTTAATGCCAGCATTAAGAGGATTTCACTCAGATTTAATGTCATTAACTTTTGATTATATGTGTGGATTATTTATTTTTTGGTCAGTCATGGGGCTTGAACTCTGGGCTTGGGCGCTGTCCCTGCGCTCCTCAGCTCAAGGCCAGTGCTCTGCGGCTTGAGCCACAGCACCGCTTCCAGTTTTTTAGTGGTTTATTGTAGAGAAGAGTCTCACGGAGTTTCCTGCCTGGGCTGGCTTTGAACCGTGATCCTCAGATCTCAGCCTCCTGAGTAGCTAGGATTACAGGCGTGCGCCACAGGGGCCCAGCTAGATTATTTTAATATTTATAAATCCCAATGCTGATACATTTCCTTCTGGATTTCACCTTATTCTGAGCTATTTACCTGCCACCTGCCCCATATGTACTACAATATAATTATAACAGTGAGGTAAATAAGCAGATACTTGAAACAGATCTCAAACATAGCTCACTGCCTTGGAGCATTTAATCTAAATACAGTCATCGTTAGTTGTAGGGTGGGGAAAAATACTCAGCAATTCTCGCTCCTTTTTCCCATCATCTCCAATTTGTGATGATTCGCTCTCCATTTACTGTTTAAATATTGGCTTTCTGATATTAAGACTACCTGGCAATAGTAGCCTCTATCACTGCTAGTTGTGACCTGGTTCAGAATTGTAAGGTCCATATTTTAAAAGTTTTGAATGCAGGGGCTTGGAAGGTGGCTCAGTGGTAGAGTGCTTGCCTCGCATGCCTGAGGCCCTGGGTTTGATTTCTCAGCAACACATAAGCAAAAAGAAAAAAGCCGGAAGTGGCGCTGTGGTTCAAGTTTTGAATGCAAACTTGAATGAGAAGTAATTGGGCCTCTTTTGTTCACAATTTTGGACATCTGGAGCAGTTCCCTGCTTTTTTCTAGTGTATTTGTTCAGATATGTGGTCTAAAAGTGGTTTCTCCAGATAGAAGCTATTAAAAGGCTTAAACCTTTATTTATCAAGCAGCTGTTGTGGTGTAGTTAGAGCAAGCTTAATAAAGAAAAGCTTATGCAGAGTATCTTAAGACTGCCTTTCACACAAGAGAGGAAATTGTGTGGTAACAGGATGGAGCTAATTTAAGCTCTTTTAAATACTCTGAGGAAGATTATTCCCTTTACAAAACAATTATTTTCCTATTGTTATTTGTGTATATAAAGTATTTTAAGCCAGTTATTAAGTAAAAGAATTCCAAAGTAACTTACTATTTCCCAATAAAGTATTATTTAATTTGCAATTAACTTTTCTGAACACCACATGAGAAAGTATGAGCAGGCATTATGTATGTAGCAGGGGGTGTATGATTGTTCTAGACACACTGAGTTTTCAGAAGATATGGTTGTCCTACCCTGTTTCTTCTCCAAACAAATATACTTACCCTCCTTTCAAAAATTTCTTACAAGGTTTTCAGAACTAGACACAAAAAAATGTTAAGGATTTTTGGTGTTAACTTTTATATTACACTTAACACAATTGTATCCTTTTGGGCAGGATTACTAATTTTTTTTTTTTATCAAATACCTTTGGAACTGTGGTTATATTTTCCCTCACAAAGATATTTATTGAACTCAGAGCCTGGGCTCTGTGCTGAGCCTTTTTGCTCAAGGCTAACCCGCTGTTACTTTGAGCCACAGCTTCACTTCTGTTTTGGTAATGTTTAGAGATAAGAATCTCAGGCTGAGAAGGTGGCTCAGTAGAGTGCTTGCCTTGCATGCATGAGGCCCTGGGTTTGATTCCTCAGCACCACATAAATAGAAAAAGTTGGAAGTGGCGCTGTGGCTCAGGTGGTAGAGTGCTAGCCTTGAGCTGAAGAGCTGAGGGACAGTGCCCAGGCCCAGAGTTCAAGCCCCATAACCAGAACCAAAAAAAATTTTTTTTAAAATAGTGTTTAGTGTCTATTAAGTCCCTATCATGTACTGGTTCTTTGGGGATTGTAGAGTGTGTGGATCTATGATTATGGATTATTACTTTCGTGTGTGGGTATGTCGGTACTTGGGCTTGAGCTCAGGGTCTGGAAACTCTCTTATTCTTGCTTAAGGATGCTTTTCTACCACTCAAGCCACATTTCTACTTCTGGCTTTTTGCTGGTTAATTGCCAATAAAAGTCTCATGGACTTCCTGGGCTGGCTTTGAACCTCAATCATCAGATCTCAGCTTCCTGAATAGCTGAGATTACAGGTGTGAGGAGCCACCAGTGCCTGGCTTTAGATGGTTACTTTTTTTTTTTTTTGCCAGTCCTGAGGCTTGCACTAAGTGCTTAGGCACTGTCTCTGAGCTTCTTTTGCTCAAGGCTAGCATTCTACCACTTGAGCCACAGTGCCACTTCAGGCTTTTTCCTGTTTATATGGTACTGAGGAATTAAACCCAGGGCTTCACGCATGCAAGGCACGTGCTCTACCACTGAGCTACCTTCCCAGCCCACTTTTTTTTTTGTCATTTGTGGGTCTTGAACTCTAGGTCTGAGTGCTGTCCCTCAGCTCCTTAGCTCAAGGTGAGCTCTCTACCACTTGTACCACAGCACCACTTTGGTTTTCTGGTGGTTTATAAGGGACTTCCCTGCCTGCTCTGGGTTTGAACTATGATCCTCACATCTCAGCCTTCTGAGTAGCTAGGATTACAGGCATGAGCCACCATCGCCCAGCTCCTAGGTAGTTACTTTTAATGGAATTGAATTCTGCCTACTTTGTATTACGTTCTTTAATGCTTAAAATGTTGGTGGGACCTGCCAGTTATCTGCCTGTGTCTCTCTTTGTGCTGGGAACCGAACCAAACACTTTACAGGTGACCTCCACCCCGAGCTTGTTGCTTGTTGGTTTTTTTGTTTGTTTGTTTTTTGGTTAGTTGAACTTAAGGCCTGGGTGCTGTCCTTGAGCCTCTTTGTACTCAAGTACTCAAGGCTAGCACTCTACCCCTTGAGCCACAGCAGCACTTCTGGTTAATCGGAGATAAGAGTCTCAGAGACTTTTCTGCTCAGTCTGGCTTCAGACCATGATCCTTAGTTCTCAGCCTCCTTTGTAGCTAGGATTGCAGGCATGAGCCACCAGTATCCAGCTTTGTTGGTATCTTTAAACAGATTCTGATGCCTTGAACCTAAGAAAAATACTCTGCATCTTAGGAATTAACAATAACATCTGGCATTTTGATTAAAGATCTCTCAGGATTTGTGCTAAAGTTGCTGCTTCAGTGTTTGGTTTATCAGTCTGTAAGGTCTTAGATGGAAAAGTGGACCAAGGCATTTTACATGTTTTCAGAAAGCTTACCAAAGCAAATTAAGTTGGTCTGAATTTCTACTGTGATGTAACTTAGGTATTCTAGGTTTACTATAGACCCCTAATTTTTCTGATGCTACCCACTGTAGAGGGAGAGGGATTCATGTTCATAGCCTTTTTTCAAGACTTTTTCTGTGCTGCCAAGAGAAGCAGCTTGTTTTCTGTTACAAGTTAGCATCCACTTAGAATAAGCTGCCATCAGTTTAGTTGCCTTAGAGAAGAGTATGTCCATCCCAGGTATGCTGGAGAAACTTGAAGGTAATTCATTAGGTGTATAAATGTAGTAAGCACAGTTCAAAACTCCCAGTGGAGGGGCTGGGAAGGTGGTTCAGTGGTAGAGTGCTTGCCTTGCATGCATGAGGCCCTGGGTTCAATTCCCCAGCACCACATAAGCAAAAAGAAAAAAGCCGGAAGTGGCACTGTGGCTCAAGTGGTAGAGCGCTAGCCTTGAGCTGAAGAGCTGAGGGACAGCACCCAGGCCCAAAGTTCAGTTCCCAGGACCAGACCCCCCCCCCCAAAACAAAACAAAAAAAAAAAACTCCCAGTGGAAGTAGTGTATTTAAAAGTCCTGGTGAAGCGGGTGCCATTGGCTCACACCTGTAATCCTAGCTACTCTGGATGCTGGGATCTGAGGATCACCAATTCTAAGCCAGCCAGGGCCGGAAAGTCCAAGAGTCTCTTTATCTCCAGTTAACCACCAAAAACAAAAAACCAGAAGTGGAGCTGTGGCCAAGTGATAAGAGTACTAGCCTTGAGCAAAAAGCTTAGGGACAATGCCCAGGCTCAGTTCAAGCGCAAGCCCTTTGAACTGGCACCAAAAAAAAAAAAAAAAGTACCTGTGAAAAGCCAGGTGCTGGTGGATCACACCAGCCGAGTAGCTGGTACCTACTCACGACAGTGATTGAAGCTAGCAAAGGCAGCAAAGTTCTTGACACTCCATCTCCAAAATATCTAGCAAAAAGAAAGCCTCATAGCATGGCTCAAATGGTAAGAGCACCAGGTGAGCAAGTATAAATAAAGCCCTGAGTTCAACCCGCAGAATCAGTCCTCTTCCCCCCAAAAAAGAGGTATCTGTGAAATGAGAAGAAATTAAAATATTGATATTCAAGACCAGTTACTGATCATTTCAAGGAACCTGGTGAGAACTCATTAAAAGGAATATTTAAAATATTAGCACTTTAAATTGGGCACCAGTGGCTCACGCTTGTAATCCTAGTTACTCACCCCGAACAGGAAAGTCTGATAGACTCCAAGAAACTACTTAAAAAAAGTAGAAAGTAGCGCTGTGGCTTGGGTGTTAGAGTGCGGTGATTGAGCAAAAGAAGCTCAGAGACAGTGCTCAGGTCCAGAGTTCTAGCCCCAAGACCTGTTTAAAAAAATAGCATGTTAGTTACAAAGTCCCCCAAAAGGTGAAAAAAAAAACCTACAAAACTTCTCCATTTTTCTATTCTCTATGATTTACAAACAGTATTGTGTTTTTTTTTAAGTTATTTTTCCAGTGCTGGGGATCAAACGCAAGGTTCATGTCTACTAATCAAGAGCTCTACCATTGTGCTACAGCTCTCGCCCCACAATATTAATTTTATTGAAGGGACTGCTATTTGTGTGTTTGTAGTTCTTCACCTTAGGTGATATAACTTGGTACCTGGTGTTTAGCAGTTGCTCAATAAAGCATTCAGTGGTCTGTAACAGAAACTGTCTTGAAGTAAAGTTCTCCCAGAGCATTTCTTCCATTGGAGATAAATTTGGCCTGAGTCTAGTTAGGAAGATATGAGAAAAAAATGAAACAAAGGTACACGCGTTTCTTTCTGGTCCAAAACAAGTCTTTTTATGTTGATTGTACAATATACACTGGCATAGGAAGTACAAAAATATCTCTAGCATAAAACACAAGACATGTGACACTGGGTTATGCTAATTTGGATTATTGAATGTTTGGCATCTGAGGTTTTTACGTGTTCTCCAAAGTGATCTCACAGATGAAATCAGAGGATCTGAGGAAGCTGAAAAGCAGATGTATTATTGATCTGATATAGGTCTGCAGAAAGTTCAAGACCTTTAACTCTTTAAGACTGGCTAAACTGGGCACCCAGTGGCTCATGCCTGTAATCCTAGCTACTTAGGAGGCTGAGATCTGAGGATTACATTTCAAAGCCAGCCCGACAGGAAACTCCTTGAGACTCTTATCTCCAATAAACCACTAGAAAACAGGAAGTGGCCCTGTGGCTCAAGCGGTAGAGTGCTTGCCTTGAGCTGAAGAGTGCAGGGACAGTGCCCAAGCCCAGAGTTCAAGCCCCATGACCAACCAAAAGAAAAGGATTGGCCAAACATGGGATTTTTACTGTTAAGCATGTCCAGCAAAATTTAAGTGAGGGAGGGAATGGTAAGACAACTTTCCAGTCTGCCCAGTTGGTTGAAAACTCAGTTTTCTTCTCTCTGAACTGTAGCATTTTTGTGAAACTTGAGAATAAACATTTGTCTGACACAGCTGTTAACTTCCTACAACTGAAATGCTTTCCATTCCCTTAAAAATAAGACCTTCTGCTACAGAATGTAGAGTGTATGTATCATCCAGACCAAAAAAAGTTTGCTGGGATGACTCTTCTATCATTTGCCCCCACGTCCAGGCCTGGAATCTACACATTCCAGGCAGAGCTCCAGCTGTTCCTATTTAGTTACCAAGACAGGATTGGCTGCACTGCCTCTTCTTTTCTCCACCCCTTGACTTTCACTGGAAGACAGCTGGAGGGCTGGAGATTAAATGGAAGTGCTGTCTCCAGGCCTTCTGAGTGCAGCTGGCACCATGGGTGTGCTCTAGAGCAACTCAGGTTTGCTCTGGGCCCCCTGCCCTGCCTCCCTTTCACCATGTTTCCTCTGGCAAGACTCTAAGTCCAGCAATTCAAGAAGATTTCTCCTCCTAAAGAACATTAATCTGAAGTGTATTGCCTCTTGATTGCTGGAAAAGAACCAATTCATTTAGAAACTAACTTAACAAGCAAACTTACTAAAAGTGATGCAAGGAGCATTGGAATTGATTAGCACTGATTTTTCACCGTGCCAACTCGTGCATTGTCTTTCAGAGGAAACTCTAGCAGCTCTGGTGAGTGTGCCATGCCAGTGGGGAGAATTGAATGTCCCTCATCTCCCTCTTTCCCTAGGGACAGTAGTCATGAGTGCCGAGTGTGTGGGGTCACAGAAGTGGGCCTTTCTGCCTATGCAAAGCACATTTCTGGCCAGTTGCACAAAGATAACGTTGATGCCCAGGAAAGAGAAGATGACGGAAAGGGAGAGGAAGAAGAAGAAGAATATTTCGACAAGGAGCTCGTTCAGTTAATAAAACAAAGGAAAGAACAAAACCGGTAAGTCATGATTTTGAATTTCCAAAATAAGCCTATCTGTATCAGAACATAGAAAATACATTTTACTTTTGTTTTTTTAACCTCTTCAGTCTATAGCATTTACACTTACCTTAATTAATAAGGTTTAGTTAGAGGTTGCTCTCTGCAGAATAAGGCACAGTGGTGAAATGCTTTCTGTTCCAAAAGCAACCTAAACTCAGTCCTGTCCTTAGATAAGCTAGCTACCTATCTACCATGTTCATAATTATTTTATTGGCATCCACATTTTAAAAATGTCACTGGGTAAACTAGGTTTTTTTTTTTTTTGTCTTATTGCCAAACGACATTGCTCAGGAATACAAGTTTCTTTTGAATTAGCATTCCACTTCTGCCAAATTTGATTTTTCTTTGTCTTTGAATCCCTGGTGACCAGCACAGAGCTTGATTTACTCTTAAGAACCTTTATGATATTTATTGAATTAGTTTATATTTTAAATTTGGCACATTGTTAGACCAACTTCTGGCTTGTACTACATAATTTTATACCTACATTAAGTATTCAAGTTTAGGCACTTGTGATTTTAGTTCACTGATTTTGTGGTCTAAAGAGTTTAATGTAGTGGGGAAAAATTTTCAAGATATGAGTACAAGAATGATCTATGAAAGGTTAATTTTTCAAGTCTTAAAATATGATGAGGAACACTTCAAGTTCTGAAACAAAAATTTCTCTTTGTCCTTATTTGCAATTACTAGTATATGTCTGAGACAAGCAGAAACAGTCAGATAAGTTGATGTTAGGCAAAATGAACCCCAAGATTAAGGACTCAAATGATTTTTCTTTCTTGCGGTTGTTTCTAACATATTTATAAGATGATTTCTTTGTTGCTTTATATGTCCCTCCCCCACGGTATAACCCCTGTTTTCACTGTATTCGATGTTGGAGGGGAAGGGAAAAAACAAATTGTTTAGATAGGGATACAGGTGGACCCATTGCAATAATGAGCTGTACAAGACGTTATGTCTAAAAATGAACTTTACAATTTGGCTGGAGGGTGTAGGGGGTGGAAGGGGGGAGTGGGGTGGGGGCGGCGGTGTGGGGAAGATTGGAAGGGATGGTAAAGGCAAACAGAGGAGGAGGCAACAATGCTTTATAAGAAATGTACTCATTACCTTGTCCATGTAATTGTAATCCTTCTGTATGGTATTTTCACAATTAAAAAAATCTCTGAATGCTAGTTATACTTACCTGTCTACTTCCTTTTTAGAGATTTGAATATAGGAAGGGAAAAATGTAGTCTTTACTATATATATATATATATATGAGATTTTTTGATCAAGTCTTAAAGACTTGGTCTTAAAATGTCTATAGCAGTGAGGTTTTTAAATCATTGAGTGCTTAGTCCTTCAAATGACATTAATACTTGCAGTACAGCTGTGTTTTCAGAAGCTGAGCCTCTTGGACATTGTCTTTGGCTTTGTTTCTGTACATTTAATGTGCCATTATTAGCATGTCTGTAAATGACTAAACATTAGACAGTCCTTGTACTTACTAAGTTCTTTAAATTTTTTATATGCTTCCATGAAGTACTTTTATATAAATCTTCTAATTAAAAAAATTATTATTATTTTTTGGCCAGTCCTGGGGCTTGAACTCAAGGCTAGAACTCTCCCACTTCAGCCATAGCATCACTTCCACCTTTTTTTTTTTTTGGGTCAGTCATGGAGCCTGAACTATGGGCCTGGTCGCTGTCCCTCAGCTCTTTTAGCTCAAGGCTAGTGCCCTACCACTTGAGCCACAGCCCCCCTTCCAACCTTTTCTGCTTATGTGGTACTGAGGAATCGAACCCAGGGCCTCATGTATGCAAGGCACGCACCCTACCACTGAGCCACCTTCCTAGCCCACTTCAAGCTTTTTCTGATTATGTGGTACTAAGGACTTGAGCCAAGGGCTTTATGTATGTTAGGCAAGCATTCTACCACTAAGCCACATTCTCAGTCATTAAAAGATTTCTTTTGTGTTTACTTACCTATTTTTGGAAGAATGGGCCTTGATATGTAATACAAGCTGGTCTTAAACTTGTATAGTTCAGGCTGGCCTTGAACTTGAGATCCTCCTTTCCTAACCTCCCAAGTACTAGAATATACTCGTGTGTGTGTGTGTGTGTGTGTGTGTGTGTGTGTGTGTGTGTGTGTGTGTGTGTGTGTGTGTGTGTGGTGTGTGTGTGTGTGTGTGTGTGTGTGTGTCTGTGTACCGAGGCTTGAATTCAGGGCCTGGGTACTGGTCCTTAGCTCTCCCCCCCGCCCCCCCAAGTGAGTACTCTACTGCTTGATCCACAGTTTTACTTGGCTTTCTGGTAGCTAATTGGAGAAAAGGATTTCACACTTTTCTTCTCAGGCTGACTTTGAACCTTAGCCTTCAGATCCCAGACCCAAATTGTTATTATTGTTTTTTGTCGGTCGTGGGCCTTGAACTCTGGGCCTGAGCGCTGTCCCTCAGCTCTTCAGCTCAAAGCGAGCACTGCTTTACCACTTGAGCTACAGCACCACTTCCTAGGCTCATATTTCTTAATGAAGTTCTTTTTTGTTTTTGGGTTTTTGCTTCTTTGTCTCCCCCCTCCCCCTTTTGAGATTTTTATGAAATTTTTAATTTTATGAGGTTTTCTGGATGCTATTGTTCCTCAAATCTGGGCACTTTATGTGGAATTTCTCCCAGATTTGCCCATTTCTGGTTAGTCTAGTAATCAGTCATTGGTCATTGGAGAACCCCTTGTTCCCTGGTCCTTTTGAATGTCAAAAACTGGCTGTTTAGAAATGAAAATGACAAATGCAGCTGGGTTAATGTCAGCAATGAAAACTGCTGTTAGTGAATATAATAATGTGTGCTACTTCAGGTCATATATGCAGACCTAGGGGTCACTGATAATGTAAGAGTGTTTGAACTTTTTGAAATATATTAACTTTTTTTGAGTCTTGCTTTGTGGCCCAAATTGGTCACAGACTTACTCACTGGGAAGCCCAGTCAGGTCTCAAATTGCCAATTTCCTTGCCTTACCCTCATGAGTACTTGGATTACAGGTATGAACCACTGTGCCTGGCCTTCATATATTGACTTTTAGTTCCATCTTATAAAAAGGGAAGGAAGCTGGTTGCCGGTGGCTCACTCCTGTAATCCCTGTAATCCCAGCCACTCCGGAGGCTGAGATCAAAGCCAGCCCAGGAGGGAAAGACAATGAAACTCTTATCTCCAGTAAACTGCCAGAAAACTGGAAGTGATGCTGTGGCTCAGGTGGTAGAGTGCTAGCCTTCAGCTGAAGAGCTGAAGGACAGAGCTCAGGCCCAGAGTTCAAGCCCCATGACTGACAAAAAAAAAACAGGGGGGGGGGGAGAAATTCCAATTGTGTTCAAGATCTTTTAGACATTGAATGCTTTTCAAGCAAATCAACATCAATGTTGGGGGCTGGCATGTTGCTCAGTGGCAAAGCGCTTGCCCAGCAAGTGCAGCATCCTGGGTTCGATCTCTTATACTAAAAGCAAACACACGCCCAAAAATAATGTCAGTGCTGGTTTTAAGATTTAAGTCATACTTAGAGAAAAAGACTCAGTTCCAGAAATATTGTTTTCATTCTAATAAATCCTAGCACTTGGGAACGTAAGCACTGCCGTCAGTGCCAAGGTTCAAATATCTGCCACTTTCCAACTGTCTTAACTCTAGGATCACTCTACTCTTCAATCTTGTCAGCCATCTAAGAGTAGGACCGATAAGAATCAGTCATTAAATGCCTGACGCTTACTGGATGATAGTAAATTTCAGTATTAGTATCAGTGTTTTTAGCACTTGTCATGTGCCAAGCACTGGACTAGGCATAGCACAGTTTATAAAGGAAAATGCTATGATATCTGTTGCTGTGACCTTTTCTACAAACAGTTCTGCTCAAACAACTGTAGCTTCTTTGTAAAGCTCTCTAGCTCATGATGGGTGACAATGTTATCAGACACTTTGTAGAATGGGAACTTCTTTGTACTTACCCGAGTGCTTCTTATTTGGTGTAAGCATTTCACTCCTGTCTATGATTTCCTTGGCTTTGTTGTAAGCCGCCATGGACAGAAAGTATACACAGAAGCTTTCTTATTCTCCTAACAGCCATTGAATAGGGATGTAATAAAGTGTGTATTCATGAAAGAGGCCATGCAAAATATAATATAACCATTTAAAATAGGATTAAGGAATTGAATTTTTTTTTTCAGAAAGAACTTGTAACTGCGAAAATCAGGTTTGAAGATCAGCTGCATGAACATGTAATTGAGTCAATAATAATCATAACCACAAAATATAATTGTACTTTGAAAATGCTACATGATGTAAAAGTAATCATGGGAAAATAAAAACAATATATCAGAACATGCCCCAAAAAAGTCCTAAACCAAATTTAGGATTTAGAAAAAGATACACATTCAGAAGTAAATACATTATTTACTTTTAAGTTAATTAATAGAGTTACATAAGTTTAACTGGATCATCTAAAGATAGGAAAGCAGCCACTGTTAGAAACCAAAATAGGTGACTATATCATGAAAGTAATGGGGGGGTGGGGAAAGGATAAAGGGGAGTGTTTTACAGGTTATGCCTATAAAAGAATTCCTTTAATGAAGTACTTTTTTTTTCCCTTCCCCAGACAAGATGAATCTTCAAAAAGCAGCCAAGAAATAAACTCAGATGACCGGCAACCCCAATGGAGACGAGAAGACCGAATCCCTTATCAAGACAGAGAGAGTTACAGCCAATCAGCCAGGCATCATCGCGGCCCTCCACAGCGGGACTGGAAATGGGAAAAGGATGGCTTTAATAATACTAGGAAAAATAGCTTTTCACATCCTTTGAGGAATGCCGCTGGGCCAAGAGGAAGCTCTGGGTGGCACAAAGGTATTGCAAGAGGCTCCTCGGGCTGGTTTCACAACCACAGTAATTCTGGCGGTGGTTGGCATCCAAATAGTGGGGTGGTAGACTGGAATTACAACGCTACAGGAAGGAATTCCAGTTGGCATTCTGAGGGAACAGGTGGATTTCCCAGCTGGCATATGAACAACAACAACGGAAACTGGAAATCCAACGTACGTAGTACAAATAGCTGGAATTACAATGGCCCGGCAGACAAATTCCAACAAGGCCGAGGCAGAAACACGAACTATCAAATGGAAGACAAGACTGCGCCGTGGAACAAGAAATTGAGTAAGGCCAGCAAGTACAATGCAGAGCGCTACAAATGGCAGTGGCAGGAGAAGGACAAGGCCAGCACATTCAGGGGTCCTTCTGAAGGATTTGCCAGCAGTGCGTTTCCTTCCGAAGGCTTGCTCGAATTCAATTTCGAGCCGTCAGAAAGCCAAACTCCTAAACCAACAGACCCCCCGCCAGCTTCCAAAATGAACGGCAAGAACGGTAACACAGCAAGGGAAAAGTTCCGCCGCTGGACTCCCTACCCTTCACAGAGGAATCTGGATTTACTGTCAGGCTTGAAAGAAATCACTAGCAACAAGTCCGAAAAGATAGATAAGCCTCTTTTTAACTTTAGCTTGATAACCGCAGGTGCACAAGAGCCTCAAGCTGAAGAAGCAAACAATTCCCCAATGCTGAAAACACAAAAAGAAATACATTCTGGGTTTCTGAACTGCAAAGATGTTTCTGAAGGCACCCCATCTTGTGAGGGGAGAGGCTGCCCCCGCACAGAGCCGCCCGAGCCACCACGCAGCTCAGAGAAGAGAGCGCCGCCCAAGGCCCCTCTCCTCCCGCTCCCCGCCCCCAAAGCCGCGCCTCAAAAACGAGATCCGAAGAATCCCCCCAAGCCCCCCGAAGCCCATTCTCGGTTTCCTGAGGAACATTCAAATCCCTTGAACAAACCCGCTGTGGAAGATGATCCTGGCTCTTCACATGTCTCCAAGTTGCGCAGCCCAGGTCCTCGAGGCTTAAAAGGGAATAAAACGACATCCGGCACTCCAAAGGAACCTGAGGAGAATCTAAATGACACATTGGAGAAAGTCCAGGAGAGGCCACCATGTCCCAAGACACTCCCCAGCTCTTCTAAAAGGAGCAGAAGCCACGAGAAGGCCAGTAGGAATGTGGAAGGCTCTGAAAAGGGGTCCTTGAAGATGGAGTTTCCAGTTCCTGCATTCGAAGATGAGAGTGATGGGGCGGCATCAGACATGGAAAAGCCGGAACCAAAAACCAGGACCGCCGTGGGTTCTACAGCGACGGAAACTTTGTCATGCAGCACCCACACTGCTGATGAGAAAGGAGACGAGGAGAGCCTGGAAACGGGTAGGAAGCCTGCCACTTCCCCATGCAGTGCCACACTTCTGCACAAAGAATCCGACGTGCATGTGGCGCCCACAGCCAGCCCACAAGCTGGCCTCCCGCTAGACTCGAAAACCGCACCAGAACACGCCCAGGGCGACGACCCCGCAAAGTCTCACGCACTCTTTGAAACAGAGAGCTTCGAGAGTACCAGTCTGGATCCCGAGCTTCAAAAAAACGACACTAGTCAGCCCTCAGGCCCTCTCCTGCCTGAACTAAGCAAGCTAGGCTTCCCAGCCTCCCTCCAGAGGGACCTCACCCGCCACATTAGTCTGAAGAGCAAAAGCGGAGCCCACCTGCCCGAGCCGAACCTCAACAGTGCCCGACGTATTCGCAACATCAGCGGCCATCGAAAGAGCGAAACAGAGAAAGAATCTGGTCTCAAGCCAACCCTACGACAAATTCTAAATGCATCTCGGAGAAACGTCAACTGGGAACAGGTCATTCAGCAAGTAACCAAGAAAAAGCAAGAGCTAGGCAAAGGCTTACCCAGGTGTGTGCCTTTTCCAGTAGCTGCTGCTCTCTCTCACATTCTTTTAAAGTTGCCCTTTGGCTTTCATCAAGAGAATCCTCCTGTTACGTTTAATTAAATGTATGCCAAAAATAGCCATTGTAGATGTCGCAGAATGATTTGTTTTTGTTTTTTGTTTTTAGATTTAATTTTTTTGTTTTGATTTTTGTTGGTCCTGGGACTTGGTTTCACGGCCTGGATACTGCCCCTGAGCTTCTTTTGCCCAAGACTAGTGCTCTACCACTTGAGCCCCACAGCTAAACTTCTGGCTTTTTGGTAGTTTATTGGAATAGGAGTTTCACGGGCTTTCCTGCTTGGGCTGGCTTTGAATGGCAGTCTTCAGATTTCAGCCCCTTGAGTAGCTGGGATTACAGGTGTGAGCCACTGGTATTGCCTGGCATGACTGGAATTTTATGACGGGTGGAATAAAGTCTCTCCTAGCAGAAAATACATCAGAATCCCATCACTTTCAATTTAAAGAAAGTGACAGCATAAAAATGTATGTCTCTAAGTGTGTATCATTTTCTAAATCCTAATTTTGGGATGAGTGGTACGGCTTTTGCATGTAACTATTCTCATGACCCTTTTAATGAAAACCTGCAGGTAGTTGAGTACCTTGCTTTCTGTACTTGGGCACTCTCCTTAGGATCACAGAATGCTTTCTCCTAAGCGCTTGTATAACATTTGACTGTTACCTTATGTTGAAGGGATGTTCAACATAGGTTTGCTACTTGAAAATTCTCTAATTCTGCAGTATTCATATATACATATATATATGAAATCTCCAGGCTTATATATTTGTATGTATGTGCATATATATGTATACATACACGTATATATGTGTGAATATGTACATATGCACACACATATATATGTATATATATTCAGGCTTAGGGTTGTTTCTGTCCTGGTTGAATTAATATATTTCTCTTATACCCTGTCACTTTCCCAGGCCTGGGATTAGTACATGGAATTGCAGATACAAAGTTCTTAGGCTAGTGCTTAGCATTTAATGAGTGTCCTGTAAGGTTTTTCATGTTCTTTTGCTTGTTTGGTTTGCTTTTAAATGACTGATAGTTTTTAAACTCCATTTGACATAAAACCCTCAATTTTTATTTCTTCACATATTTTCATAGGTATATGTTAATTTACTACTTGTAACACTGCAATATATATGTCTGAACCACTCACCAGACCGTGATCTCCAGGAGGGCAGAGACTGTCTTTTTTAATTTTTTTTTTGTTGTTGTTGTTGGTTATGGGTCTTGAACTCTGGGCCTGGGTGCTGTCCCTGCACTGCAGCTCAAGGCAAGCACTCTACCACTAGAGCCACAGCGCCACTTCTGGTTTTCTGAGTGGTTAATTGGAGATAAGAATCTCATGGACTTTCCTGCCCAGGCTGGCTTTGAACTGTAATCCTCAGATCTCAGCCTCCTGAGTAGCTAGGGTTACAGACATGAGCACTGACACCCGGCTTGGGATCATCTTGTTTATTCATTTGTGGACCCAGCTGAACAGCCTGGCTCTTTAAAACAGTGTCCCACTTCACAACTGTGTCTGATTTGTGTTTTTGTTTTTCTTTAAGGTTTGGCATAGAAATGGTACCTCTGGTTCAAAATGAGCAAGAGGCCTTGGACTTAGATGAGGAGCCTGATCTGTCCAATCTAGAAGGATTCCACTGGGAAGGTGTTTCCATTTGCTCATCCCCTGGGTTGACAAGAAAGCGAAGCCTTTCCGAGAGCAGCGTGGTCATGGACAGGGCTCCTGTGTATAGCTTCTTTAGCGAGGAAGGTACCGGCAAAGAAAATGAGCCCCAGCACATTGTTGCTGCGCAGAGTCAGAAAGCGACCATGTGCCTTAAACAGGAAGTGGTCCCTCTGGCCGCCTCCCTCAGAGCAGGTGAAAGGGCTGAGAACATTGGCACGCAGAGACGACATAGTACACAGCCACCCGCTGACCCTGCAATACCGTTGATGCATTTGGCCAAAGACTTGGCCAGCCAGGAGAGGTCCACACCCTTGTCAGAGTACCAGAATGCCCAGGAGAGTAATGGAGAAGGAAACTCTCTATCATTGAACGCTTCCTCAGCCCTCACCACCTCCACCTTAGCAGATGCTGCCACAGACAGCAGTTGTACCTCTGGCACCGAACAAAACGACAGCCAGAGTGTTCGGAAGAAACGCAGAGCCACTGGGGTGAGTATGAGTTCCTGTGCCTTTTAGAGTCCATCTCTTGTGACTTAGTGGTTGATAAAGGAAGGTTTACCTCTGATTGCTGATTGTTCTTGGGGATTGGTCAGTCAGGGGGCTTGAACTCTAGGCCTGGGCACTGTCCCTTAGCTCTTCACTTCAAGGCCAGTGCTCTAGCACTTGAGCCACCGCACCACATCTGGTTTTCTGATGCTTAATGGGAGATAAGAGTCTCACAGCCTTCCCTGCCCGGGCTGGCTTTGCACTGCGATCCTCACGTTTCTGCCTCTTGCGTAGCTGGGGTTACAGACGTGAGCCTTGGGTGCTCAGTTGGGGGTTGTGTTTCTTCCCATATTCTGCAGGAGAAAACTCAGGAGCTCGCATGTTTTCATCCTACCGGTATTACTTTTAGTAGGTCTACTCAGTTAGATGTCATGTAATGCGAATGTACAGTACCAGGAAAATATGAAGTCATTGCTAAAACGAGCCTCCAGCCCAGTGGTTCTTTGAGTCACCTGACCATAGCTACCGTGTGGCTTCAGCTGTAACTTAATCTGTTTTCCGAGAAGCACTCTGTCCTGCTTCAGAATGGCATGCTCATTTTGCGTGTGCAGGGTGCATACGGTTGTTAGATTCTTGACTGAGAGGCTTGACTCTAAAGCCTCGTGGTTCTATTAGCACATAAATATGAGCATAGTAATGGAAATGTTTTTAGCCTTCATAAGTGTCTTTTGTTCCTTAGTTTCTCTGCGTAACCTTTTAAGAATCTTTCAATGATACCATTTCTGTTCATGTGCCACTCCTGTCACTCAGAGTACTTAGCCCTCTCAGGACCCTTTCTAAAAAGAGGGTGGCTAGAAGCTAAAACTGGCACTGGGAGAAATTGGGTTCTTTCTAAAATTAATAATCAGAAAATTCCAACAAATTTTAGTTTCATTCCTCTGAGCTAGACACTATGTAAGAGATACGGTTAGGTACTTTAGGTAGAAATTGGACTTTTTTTCTTCTCTTTGTCTCTTTTGGCATTATTGGGGTTTGAATTTGGAGTCTTGTGTTTACTAGGCAGGTGCTCTACCACTTGAGCCACACCTCTAGCCTTACAAATTGTTCTTTGAGAAAGCTAAACATTTTGCCTTCCTTCCTTCCTTTCTTTCTTTCTTTCTTTCTTTGGTTGGTGGTGGGGCTTGAACTCCGGGCTTGGGCACTGTCCATTTGCTCTTCAGCTCAAGGTGAATGTTCTACCGCTTGAGCTACAGTGCTATTTCTGGTTTTCTAGTGGTTTATTGGAGATAAGAGTCTCATGGCCTTTCCTGCCTGGGTTGGCTTTGAATCCTTAGATCTCAGCCTCCTGAGTAGCTAGGATTACAGGCGTGAGCCACCGGCGCCCGGCATATTTTGAGTTTCTTACAGATGCTTTAGCTTCTTGTAAAAGTTTGCTTGCTGAAATGTAAAGTGGAATTGTCTGCTGAGGTGCAGTCAAGAGTATCTGTTAGATGTTACTGGCTCTGTCCATTCTTGTGTCTGTGTGGCACTTCACCGTGGTAGAGGGCCAGTGCTGTGCCTACGCCCCATGGGATTTAACCACCCATAGGAAACTAGGAAGGCCATGACCTTAGTCTGTTTCATTCTCTCTTTTTTGGGAAGATGGGCAGGATCAGGAACAGAATTGGGGATTTGAACTCAGGACCTCAGACTCGCTAGGTAGGTGTTTTGCCACGTGAGCATCTCCGCCAGCCCTCTGTTTTTTCGAAAGATACTTTCACTCAACTAATATTTGACTGTGTGCAGGACACCTTGGTAGAGATGGTAGTAAGTGAAGGACAGTATATGACTAAGAATTCATTCTTTTGTTTTCACCCCCCTTGGACTAAATAGGCTTTACCTATTTAATATTATTCAATTTTTTTAATCCCCTCAGGATGGATCTTCTCCTGAACTCCCAAGTCTTGAAAGAAAAAATAAAAGAAGGAAAATTAAAGGAAAGAAAGGTATGGTACAGAATATCCTGACAAAAAGAGGAGTGTTTTTTTTCTTTTTTTTCCAGCTTTGGGAGTGGAATGCAGCATCTTAACATGGACTGAGCTACACTCCAGCCACAGGAAGTTGTTCTTCTAGAACTTACATTTCTTTTCAGCTTGACATAACATAGCTTGTGATCATCAATCACTCCATGTGTTGTTTTATATATTTGCTGTATAAACAGGTTTCATTGTGACATTTCTACAGGTATATACAGTGTATCCTGATCAACCTCACCACCTGTCACTTTACTCTGTATCCTATACCTCCCTTAAAACAATTTCAACAGGTTACATTGTTCTTCTTTCATACTGGAAAATAGTTGTTGTTTTTTTTTTTCTTTTGAGACAGTGTCTTGCTAGCCCAAGCTGTTCTGGAACTTACTGCGTAGCTCAGGCTGACTCTTGAACCTGAGATTCTCCAGAGTAGCCTACCAGTTGTAAGGATTATGGGTGTGCGCCACTACGCCTGGCTCATTTATTATTATCATCATCATCATTTTTACTTTGCTTAATAGCAAATTTTGATTTCCTGCTATCTCTAGTTATAGTTAGAAAAGAAATTATATGATGCCATATAGCCCTATAAGCAAAGATCATATCTCTTAGACAGTTTAAAGCCAGGAAGTCTCATGGGTCTTTTCAGTGAGATGGAAAGGAACAGGCCAGTCAGTAGAAACATCCCTTTTGCTCCTTTACTGTCATTTCCCTCACTTTTCTTCTGCGGCGTCTTGGCTGCTTTTCTCTTGTGAATTCTGGAGAGAAGTTATTACTGCTTCTGCAACTCTTTCCTTGTGGGAAGGTGATTGCACGAGTCCTAGGTGCGTGATTGGCAGATGGAGGAAGAGTCAGCTTCTAACCAGGGAAACCAGGAGGAGGGCCAAACCTATCATTTTTAGAGCTCGAATGCTCCATCTGTGAAATATACTTTTGGCCACTGTTGTGTTTGTTTCATGCACCTTAAATCCTGCGTGATGAAAGGGAGTCTTGTTATTGAGTGGGGCCCTATGATTATTTCCACAGAACGTTCTCAGGTCGACCAGCTGTTGAGTATTTCCTTGAGAGAGGAAGAGCTAAGCAAATCACTTCAGTGCATGGACAACAACCTTCTGCAGGCTCGAGCAGCCCTGCAGACAGCGTATGTGGAAGTTCAGAGGCTGCTCATGCTCAAGCAGCAGGTAACAGCGTTTGGGCTGCTCTGAGGGAGGGCACTCAGGAGGTGGATTTCAGAATGCCTGACAAGGTGTTTTCTTTCTAGATAACTATGGAGATGAGTGCGCTGAGGACCCACCGAATACAGATTCTACAGGGATTACAAGGTGCGGGGAACGGGGCCTTTTGCACATTCTTGTTGTTTTCTAGGCAGAGGAAAGAGAATGGTCGGGAGAAGATCACATGCATCCTCGTGGTTTTTTTTTTTAATTGTGAAAATACCATATAAAGGGGTTACAATTACATGGGCAAGGTAATGAGTACATTTCTTATCAAGCACTGTTACCTCCTCCTTTGTTTCCCCTTACGATTCCTTCCTATCCTTCCACCCCCACCCCGTGTTTGGTTTTTATCTATCTATTTATTTATTTTTGGTCCGGTCGTGGGGCCTGAACTCTGGTCCTGTGCGCTGTCCCTCAGCTCTTCAGCTCAAGGCTAGCACTCTATCACTTGAGCCACAGCACCACTCCCGGCTTTTTTCTTTTTGCTTATGGGGTACTGAGGAATCGAACCCAGGGCCTCAGGCCTGCAAGGCAAGCGCTCTACCACTGAGCCACCTTCCTAGCCCCACTCTTGGTTTTTATCTATGAAGGGCTTGTGGACTATGTATATCTCACAGATGCTTTTGGTCTTAGGAATCAAAATAGCTGGATCACAAGTATCAAGTTATCGCTTCCTCCCTTTTTTTTTTCTATTAGGGTTACTGAGGATTAATCTTAAAACCTTGCGCTTGCTAGGCTAGGAAGGTGCTCTCCATGTAAGCCACTCTGCTTGAAAACTCCTCTCCTTTCATTTTAGCAGTACTCTAGCTGGGCAGTTGCTCTGCTGCTAAGCTGTAGCTCTGGCCCTTTTTTTTCCACCACTGGTTTAAGATAGGGTCTTACTTTTTTTTTGTTGGTTATGGGGCTTGAACTCTGGGCTTGGGCACTATCCCTGCGCTCTTCAGCACAAGGCGAGCGCTGTACCACTTGAGCTACAGCGCCACTTCCGGTTTTCTAGTGGTTTATTGGAGATGAGTCTCACAGACTTTCCTGCCAGGGCTGGCTTTGAACCGTGATCCTCAGATCTTAGCTTCCTGAGTAGCTAGGATTACATGAGTGAGCCACCAGCACCCAGCTTTTTTTTGTTGTTGTTGGTTGTGGAGCTTGAACTCTGGGCCTGGGTGCTCTCTCTGAGCTCTTTAGCTCAAGGTTATCACTCTATCACTTAAGCCACAGTGCCACTTCCAGTTTTCTTGTGGTTAATTAGAGATAAGAGTCTTATGGACTTTCCTGCCTGGGCTGGCTTTGAACCATGATCTTCAGATCTGGGCCTCCTGTGTAGCTAGGATTACAAGTGTGAGCCACCGGCGCTGGGCTCTGGTCTTATTTTTATCCAGGCCACACCTGGGTCACAATCTTCCTATTTTAGGCTTCCTGCCATAGCGGAGATGACAGGCGTGCACCACCAGGCCCAGCTTCTTCCATTGAGATGCAGTTACAGGCTATCCTCCAACTGTAATCCTCCTGATCACTTTCTCTTACATAGCTGCAATGACAGTGCCACAGTATCCAGCTATTGGTTGAGAAGCTGTGTGAAGAACTTTGTGTCTGGCTGGCCTTAAACTATGATCCTCCCAATTTCAGCCTTCTAAGTAGCTAGGATTGCAAACAGCCACTAGTGCCCATCTGAGAAGTTTTTTTTTTGTTTTTTGTTTTGGTTAGTTGTGGGGCTTGAACTCTGGGCCTGAGCACTGTATTAATTTAAAATTCTTCTCTGATCTAATGGAGATTGGCTAAAAATAAAGTGACTTTTCAGGTAACATATTTTGTATTTCTGTGTTTTTTTCCTCATTCTAGAGACGTACGAACCTTCTGAGCAGTCAGACCAGGTTCCCTGTAGCCTCCCCAGAGAAGCAAGAAGCAGATCTCAGACCACTGCTGATACCACGCTGTTGCCTAATCCCTTCTTCCCCCTTTTCCTGGAGGCAGCTCCTTCCCATGTGTCTCCATCATCCACCAGAGCCTCTCTCCAACTAGCCACTTCTCCTGCTTTCCAGGCTCAGGGCAACATCCCTGCCCCAGATTCATCTGTTCAGATTAAACAAGAGCCCATGTCCCCCGAACAAGAGGGGAGTGTGAATTCTGGGTCACAGGGCTCTGATTTCAGTGTGTCCAAGGAACTACTGCACACTCAGGGTAAGCAAGCCTTCCCCCATTCGCGGCACCCTAAGAGCGGGGACAATCCTAGGACAAATATGCATCAGTATATACAATACCTGCATGGTGAAACTACAGTTGTTACAGTTAATTTGTCTTTGAAATGCCCTTCATATAGGAGGCTTATTTTAAAATACTGCAAGGAATGTAATGTAGATACCCCTGACTTTTTCCTACTTGTCTGTAATCTAAGATTACTGATTGTTTTAACACCTAAAGGGAGTAGTGTTTTAAGGGTAGGTATAGAACTTATTTGGCTTTTGTGATGAATAGGTTGAAGTGGCTCAGCTGGTTTTTCTAGATGTCACTTATAGCTTGAACTTCAGAGCACTTGACTGCATTTGTTTTGTGTATGAGATAGAACTGTTAAAAGCCTGAGCTGTGGTTGGCCAAGGGGGTAGGACATCTAACAGGAACTTGAGTGCTTTGTGGAGAAGCCAAGGCTTATGCTCTTACTATATAAAAGAAATAAGATAGCACGTCAGAATATTGTTGTTCCAATCCTGGGGCTTGAAAACAGGGCCTGAGCTATTTTGTGCTAGACTAGCACTCTACCACTTGCACCACAGCTCCACTTCCTGCTTTTTGATGGTTAATTGTAGATAATAGTCTTACAGACTTTCCTGTCCAGGCTGGCTTTAAACTGTAATCCTCAGATTTCAGCTTTCTGAAAGTATCAGGAGTAAGCCACTGGCACCCAGCTCAAAATAATTTCTTGGCTTTGTAAAATCCTGTTAGAAGTATTCTTTTTTTCTTTTTTTTTGTCGGCCGTGGGGCTTGAACTCTTGGCCTCAGCAATTTTCCCCAGCTCTTCAGCTCAAGGCTAGCGCTCTACCACTTGAGCTACAGCCCCACTTCTGGTTTTCTAGTGGTTTATGGAGACAAGAGTTTCACAGACTTTCCTGCCTGGCCTGGCTTTGAACCACGATCTTCAGATCTCAGCCTCCTGAGTAGCTAGGATTACAGGCATGAGCCACCGGCGCCCTGCTATTAGAAGTTTTCATAAGCACAATAATACCATATTGAAAATAAAGAAGCAAATAATCAGGTTTTGTTTTTTGTTTTTAGAGTGAGAGTCTGAATTACCTAGTTTTGCTACCAGTACCCTGTCAAAATGTTAATCTATTTACCAATATCAAATGTATGTTACCTTTCATATTGAATATAGAGTTATGTTTATGTGCTTACTACTTAAGCTTTTAAAAATACGGTAGGGGCTGGGAAGATGGCTCAGTGGTGGAGTGCTTGCCTTACATGCATGAGGCCCTGGGTTCGAGTCCTCAGCACCACATAAGCAGAAAAAGCTGGAAGTGGGGCTGATGCTCAAGTGGTAGAGCGCTAGCCTTCAGCTGAAGAGCTGAGGGACAGCGTCCAGGCCCAGCTTTCAGGCCCCACAACCGACCAAAAATAAAATAAAAATAAAAATACGGTAATGGTTGCTCACATCTGTAATCCTAATTACTGAGAAGGCTGAGAACTGAGGATCCTGGCTCACAGCCAGCCCAGGGAAACAAATCTATAGAACTGTAATCTCCAGTTTACCAGCAAAGAAAGCCAGAAATAGACCTGTGGTTCAAATGGTAGAATGCCAGCCATGAGTGGAAAAGCCAAGTGAGCAGGGTGCTGGTGGCTCATGCCTGAAATCCAGTTACTCAGGAAGCTGAGATCTGAGAATTGTGGTTCAGTGCCAGTATGGGCATGAAAGGCTGTGAGACTCTTATCTCCAATTAATCACCAGAAAAGGCTGAAAGTGGTGCTGTGGCTCAAGTAGTAGAGTCCTAGCTTTGAGCATAAAGGAGCTCAGGGACAGTGCCTCAGTCCAGAGTTCAACCCCCAGGACTGGCAAAAAACCCAAAAAAACAAAGAACAAAAATTGCCAAGTGAGCCATTAAATCACAATAAAAAAAATTGGGGGAAAAAATGCCAAGTGAAAGCACAAGACCCAAGTTCAAGCCCCAGTACTGGCACTGCCCCCAATAGAAACCCAGAAAAATCTATATAGTAAAGAAAATTTGTAGTGATTTTTAAATTACTTGTTAAAAATTCAGTAAGACAGTGGGCGCTGGTGGCTCACGCCTGTAATCCTAGCTATTTGGGAGACTGAGATCTGAGGATCACAATTCAAAGCCAGCTTGGGCAGTAAAGTCTGTGAGACTCTTCAGTAAAACACTCAGAAAACCGGAAGTGGCGCTGTAGCTCAAGTGGTAGAGCGCTCGCCTTGAGCTGAAGAGCTGAGGGACAGCACCCAGGCCCAGAGTTCAAGCC